AGAGGTATATCGACGCGTACTCAGAGTGAGAAGTTGAAAATTTGTATTTAATCGTTCTTTTACAAAGCCGTACACTGACGTTATTCGCGAGCTCCAGTTCTACGCGGAAATTGTAAGCGACCCGCAAGAAGTCGCAAGAAGTCTCATAAGAAGAGCAGTAAGAAGAGCGCACACTTTCTTTCGCAAGGTGACTTATATAACCGTCAAGACAATTCTCGATCAGTCCTTCAGATTCCTCATCGACGATTTCAGAAGGAATCCAGAAGGAATCGTCGATACCGCCTATTATTGAGTCGAGCAACAAAAACTGTTTACATTGACTTTCGTTTTCAGGCTACTCGATAATGTCGAGATGATCGCTCGCGATGTGAATCTGTAGATCGAGATTCTGCTTTCAATACTATTATTATTATTATTATTATTAAGTGTTCTTTATTATATTTTTAATAATATTATTATTGCAAAAGTTGCTCGGTAATGACTTTCAATTTTGCCAATTTCGTGAGCTTCCAACTTCATTATGTCTAAACCGATTAGCAATGTATTGTAAACTCAAGATTTTTCAAAGTCATAAGTTGCATTTATTTATCGCATCTTTGGTAATTCAAGTTTGAATTATTTATTAAAATAATAAATAAAAAAATAATAATATAACAAATAACGTGTGTTAACCTTAAACTTATCTTTTTTAATATTCTTTTTAACTATCCTAACATTCTTTTATTAATTGCGTAAAAAAATATATTAAAGGAAAAATCCTCTTTATTGAACTATATGAAATGTAAAGCTCTGAAAATGCCACTTCTGCTTTTCTGCGTTCCCGCTTTTTCGATGAATGAACAATCATAAGAAAGATACAGCTAGAAACGCTTCCGGCAAGAAAATATTAAAAATATATAATGACTATCGATTTCTATTGATGTTGGGAATAATAAAGTATCAACGGCGTCGAGTATATATCATCGTCACAGCACATATCACTAAATTAAATTAAACATTCGTTTGATTATTATGTTTTCTTATTATGTAAATTTGTTAGCGCTTCTCGTTGTTAGCGTTTCTCGTTGCTGTACAAAGTTCAGTACATGCTTTTCCGAATAAAATATATATTAATTTCCTTGTAATTTATTAGACATCGTTTTAAACTGTAAAGTTAGTGCATAACATGCTATATACGAGGGTAGTTTGATAAGTCAGTGACTTTTTTAATAAAAGATATTTTTTTCGGCAAATAAGCGTTTTATTTCTCAACGTAGTCTCCTTTTAGCTCGATACATTTAGTCCACCGTTTTTCCAATTTTTTTATTCCTTCCAAATAATAGGTTTTCTCAAGGCTCTCAAAATAGGCGTTTGTTTCAGTGATGACCCAAATCTCTTACCGCCCAGCCATTTCTTCAGGTTTGGAAACAGGAAATAGTCGCAGGGGGCTAAATCTGGTGAATATGCTGCATGGGGTAGCAGTTTGTAGCCCAATTTATGGATTTTTGCCATGGTGACTACACACGTGTGCACCCGTGCATTGTCCTGATGGAACAGCACTTTTTTCTTCGCCAAATGCGGTCGTTTTTGCTTTAAATCAATATCGAATCTGTCCAAAAGCTCTGAATAATATTCGCCGGTGATCGTTTTACCCTTTTCAAGGTAATCGATGTGAATGATATCGCGTGCATCCCAAAAAACTGTGGCCATGACCTTGTTGGCCGACAGACCCACCTTGGCCTTCTTTGGTGCACGTTCACCCGAAGAAACCCACTGTCTTGATTGTTCCTTGGTCTCTGGTGTGGTGTGATGGATCCATGTTTCGTCTACGGTAACGAAACGGCGCAAAAACTCGTTCGGATTACGGCTGAACATCGCCAAACACTCCTTTGAAATGGTCACACGGTTGCGCTTATGGTCGAGTGTGAGCAATCGCGGCACCCATCGCGCGGATAGCTTTTTCATGTCCAAATATTCATGTAAAATGTGATGTACCCGCTCATTTGAGATGCCTACAGCCTCAGCCACTTCACGCACTTTCATTCTCCGATCATCCAATATCATTCCATGGATTTTATCGACGATTTCTGGCGTGACGACCTCTTTTGGGCGACCTGAACGTTCGGCGTCACTTGTGCTGGTACGACCACAACGGAACTCAGTAAACCACTTCTTAACCATTGAAATTGATGGTGCAGAGTCCCCATAGTATTTATCAAGCTTTGCCTTGGTTTCGGTGATGGTTTTTTTACGCAAAAAATAATGCTTAATCAGCACACGAAATTCACTTTTTTCCATTTTCGTTAAAATTCACGAGGTTGTCTGCTTTCAATGGCTGTCAAACACTAACTAAATGGCGCAGCTTGCCCAAACTTGTACAGTAGTCTATTAATAGATGGCAGTTGACGGGAGCAGTGCTGCATTTAAAGTTACTGCGCGGAAAATTCAAAAAGTCACTGACTTATCAAACTGCCCTCGTAATAATAAGCAGATAATAGCATAATTTCGTTAATGTATGTGTCGTGTACGTAAATATCATTCTTTAACACTATAAGTACAAATAGAGTAAAAATGACTTGTTAACTTTGTATAAACATAACTGAAATATTTATAACAATGCACTTTATGTTTTTTACTTATTCTTTTTGAATAAAATTGCAAAGAATAAATAAATAAATAAATATTTGCTCTCTCTCTCTCTCTCTTTTTCTCTCCCCTTTCTATAAACGTATCTTTCTAAAAATGTCTTTTTAATCATTCAGAAGAAAACAGATCGTTAATCATCAGTAGTTTAGACCTTTCATTCTTTACGCACAGATAATTTAACATCACCTCGGTATCGAGCATGAAGCGATCAGTCGAATATTGACGGGCTTTAAAAAAGGCTCCGCCTACTCGAGCGGGGAACGTTTCGTATCATACGTACAGATACAAGTGCGTAAAAGCCATTGGTTATGTTAAGAGAAAACTGCTTTGCAACTGTAGTAAAATTCGTGAATCCGATTGAAGTTCTCAGGCTATGTTTACAATAGAAGTCGTAAAGTCGTAAAGTCGTAGATCCTAAGAAATTGACAAATTGAGAATTGATTGTGATTTGAAAAATTACAATCGTTTTTTTCTGAACCGCATGGAAAATAATGAACTGTGTATAGGCCAATAGTCTTTTGAATTACAGCTTAATGATTTTACGACCTCTATTGTAGACGATCCCTTAATCTTGGCTGAATCAGAGAGCATCTACTAATTATAATAGATTCACGAATTTTACAATAGTTGTAAAACAACTTCTTCTATTGAACGCATCTATTGACGCAACTGTCTTGAAAAATATTTGCAAACAGCACTCGGTTTATTAACGCTGATGTGCTTCGGAAATCATTATAGCTTGTATCGAATAATAATTCATAATGAACGTGCTATAATATTTTAACCTTTTCGATACGGCGGATACTCGTCGTGTAGCGTGACTCAATGGTCCAAAAAAAGGAATTATATCACTTTATTGATCAAGTCATAATATCCCACATTACTTCACTGCATAAAAAGTCTTATTTCAAAAGTATTGTTTCGTATTTACGAAATTTTGTCATGAATTCTGCTTTGTAATAATCTTGGATTGGATCGGGGGTCAATATTTTTCAGTGTGATACGGGGAATAGAACGTGAAAATCTTGTATGCCTCTGCATCCAAAAACAAGTAACAGAAGTAAATTTTTTTTTTAATGCATTTTTCGCATTTATTTGAATTCTATCTATTGCGATTGAATGCGAGGGACGTTTTGATTTAAGTGGATTCTTTTTAATGCGAAAGTTCGTATTCGTTAAAATTTTGCCACTTTGAAAAGAGATTCAGATATTTTTTAATGTAAAATTAAATATACTTCACTGTTTGACAACACAATTTTATAGACAAATATTTATTAGTTTAATTAATAATTAGAAACGATTCCTTATAATATAAGAAAATTAAAATTTGTCAACATTTTGAATGAAAACATTCACCACTATCGTCTCATATTCAGTGCAATGAAATTTAATATAAACCAAAAGTTTTTAATTCCTTCGCTGGGGCCAGAAAACAAAATTAAATATTGAAAAAATATAAATATTTTTTAATTCTTTTCGATCCGACATTTTATGCAGGATTGTTTTACTAAACAACCAGAATAAGGTGAGACATACTGTTATATATGTTTATGTAAGGTGTTTTCATATTTATAATGAGTTTTATTCGACTGTTTATTGAACGTTTATCCGATAAGAACAGGTATATTGTATCCACGTGGAATCTATATGGTTGACGTAAATGTATTGTCGTTTAATGCTCTGCAAAAAATGTTGGATTGAGAAGAATTAACAAGTATTGATATTTTTTAATACTTCTAATTTCTGCTTTCTGATCCGAACAGAAATATTGAAAAGTATTGATTCGCATTAAACTTCATCACGCTGAATGCGAGATAGTAGTGGTAAATGCTTTGCATAAAATGTTTATGAATTTTTACTTTCTTATCATAAAGAATCATTTGTTCTTTGTAATTATTAATTAGACTAAAAACATTTGTCTACAAAATGGTATTGCCAAACAGTAAAGTATATTTTATTTCGCCCTTACGCATTGAGAAGTATTCGAATTTCCTTTCAGAGTGGTAAAATTAAAACAAATACGAACTTTCGTTTAAAAAAGAATTCACTTAGCTTAAGACATTCCTTGCATTCAATCGCAGTAGATAGAATTCAAGTTAATGCGAACTCTCGCATTGAAAAAGATTCACTTCTTCTGCTAATTGTTTTCGGATTCAAAGGCAAGATTTTCACGTTCTATTCCCTGTATTATAATGAATACATATACTGAAAAGTATTGGTCCGCGATTCAACCCGAGATTGTTGTAAAGCAGAATTCACAACAAAATCGTGTCTAAAAAGTTGCAAAATAATAGTTGTTAACATATATTTTACATATTATTATATTAAGTATAAATTCAAACCTATATTTTATATATAATTACGAGTAAAGGCATTTTAAACGTCATTGTCGTTGTCTGTACCGTGCTGCAGTACAATCTGTTTTATAGAACGCGCGCTTGTACGCGCGATCGTAAAAAATCGGCAACTATGCGCCTAGCGTACGCGCACGTTTTCTAATTAGTCGGTGTCTGGCACTGCAACGAGAGATGTCGGCGAATGATTCTGTGAATATATATTTAATCGTTAAATATTAATTATATATATATATATATATATTATATGCAATAAATATGTTTTATGAATTTTTCCAGAACGAGCTGAACGCGGTGATGACGACGTCCACGACGGCGGCGTCTGCGGGGGCTGCAATGGTCACGACGGCCACGACGGCCACGACGGCTATGTCGGCCATAACGGCTATGACGGCCACGACGGCGACCGAGCCAATTATATTAACTGTAAGTATGAAAATCTGTATATGTCTATGCTGATCTATATATTATATTAAATTATAATATATTATATTAAATTGTAAGTTGTTATTTAACGCTTTGTCTCATATTTTAAAATTAACTTATTGTTATAGCCTAAAACACTGCAAAATATTATTAAAGCAGCTGTCGTGGCTGCAGTAGGAAGAGGAAGAGGGAGAGGGAGAGGAAGAGGCAGAGGAAGAGGAAGAAGCAGAAGCAGCGGCGAAGACAGAGCATTGGATTGCCAAACACATTGGGTTCGTCTCCGCCAACGATTTATTAAGGAAAGGCAGCAGCGAGAACTAGAAACTAGAAATGAAGCAGGCAACATACCAGATAAAAATGGCCTCTATTCAACCACTTAAATTTTTTGGGACAATTCATCTTTCAGAGAAAGTTTGTTTCATTTTTCATTACAAGATTAATTATAGGCTCAGTCAATACAGAGCATCTGTTATATTACATACGTTATAATAGGCTTATTCTTTTTTACTGCATTACTGCACTAATTTTTGATGTCAACGAATTTACCAGTTTCTTCTAATTTCTTGTTTGCAACTGATTTTGTGTAATGGACACTTTGACTATTTGACAAAATAATCTCATCACATTTTTCAATATTTCATTTTATCTATATCTATACTGTAATCATCATGATTTCAGAAGTGTGAGTAATGTTGGTGCAACATCTAATATTTTAGCAAATCAGCCTCGAAATATGCAATACTATAATTACTAAAATGACAACGTTAAGGTACGAAAGATTATTATTTTTAAATAAATAACGTATACTGTTATAATACATTTAACCATTTGTCTTGTAGTAACGGTATTAGTACAAGATGTTATCATAACAGGATTTGCACGTTGCCTATTTCATAATTTATAATGTAATTATTTCATATATATGTATAATGTAATTATTGCAAATTCAAATTCAAATGTATTCAGCAGAATATTATAGTGTGTAACTGTAGTAAATTAATACTTCATTTCAAAACCTGTTATATGTATTGTAGATAATGTAAGATACAGACGAGGGAGGACAGCACCAGTCTATTCCGGGGGGAGCCACGGGAGAAAGACCGGTCCTGAGAGATCAGACTCGACGGATGGAGAAGAGGATAAAAGGAGACGCACGGAGAAAGACGGAGCTTTTTGCTTTTTAGCTTTTTGCCTTTGGCTTTTCGCCTTTAGCTTTTTGTCAATTAATGTCGAGACGAATAATAGAAATTTGAGTCAAGTCGAAGAAAGAGTCGTAGAGCGTTAAGCTTTTGTAAAGAGATATATTTGATATAAGTTGCGGTGTCGGATACTATTGTATTATTGTTTATTTAAAATATACATACTTATATTCTTGTTCATAATAAGAAGAGTTCACATTAATCGCTCGGAACCTGAACATCCTGAACATCCCTCTCTTACAAAGGAAGAGGATCAAGAAGAAGAGAGACAGAGATATATTAGAATAGAGAAATAGAGGATCTCTCTTTTTAAATCTTACAATAACAAATTATCTTATATGCAATTTTATGTGAAAGATATATTAACCTCATTTACATTTATTGATTTCTAGTTCATGGATTGTCATAAAGAATCGCCATCTGATTGGACTCCAGTTACCTTGTGCAATAACAATCTATCTGAAAATACGTTGGTGATTGTTTTAGATTCAAAACATACATACTGCTAAAATACATACTGCCAAAGTATATTTTAACAATATAATAGTCCTATTTTATATAAAAGTCTTTGGTATTTATTTTTATTATCTCTATTTCTGATAAAACATTTGTATAATTTTCTTAACTATACATTTGTTACCATTGAATTACTATTTTATTATTCATATTATTATTCTTACTTATTAAATTGTTTGTAGCCAACGGCACTTGTAGAATTGCATATACCAGCATTTTCGCCGTCATAGCAATCAACTTCATCGATGTTAAGATCAATCCCTTCTCCGTTGCAACGACCAACCTCGCCGATGCCAAGAACAACTTCTCCATTACAACAATCAACCTCGCCGATGCCAAGAATAACCCCTTCTCCATTACAACAATTAAGTTCGTCGCAG